AAAAAAAACATAATAGGGAACAAAAATAAATTAATAGATTTTTACTTGCTATCAGATAAATGTTAAAGTAAATAATTTTATTTGAAATAGGAAATTATAATTTAAGTTTATATTAATAGTTTTTTGTTTTAATTTGAATATTTTGACGCCATTTTGAAACGCTTATATCATATAGTACTATATGTACTAGATAAAATTTTAACTTCTACCAGCAGTTTGGCGTAACGGTTCCCATTTAGTTAGCCTAGCACTTAGGGTTACTCCTAGTCACCTGCTACTCAGAAGACTAGCTATTTTAACTTATGTTTGTCCTAGGAAGAAGTTAATCATCACTTCATACTTTACAAAGAGACAGACAGAAAGCTAGTTCAAAGGATTCAATGCATGTTCACACTATAGATTACTAGGGGAATATAAAGTGACCACTATCACTGCTCTCGTTTACAAAGGGAACTCCTAATACAACGATTGTCTTCACTCTCGTTTACAAGGAAAACATTCGTAAGGAAATACTAGTTAAACCCAGCAGTTCGGTCGGACAGTCCCGAACTCCCTATTTAACGTACCACATACGGTTATACCTAGCCACCAACAGTCCAGGTGACTAGCAATTTTAACATGTGCTTGTCCTACGAGGAAGTCAATCGTCACCCCCGTAGATTACGATGAGGCAGACAAGTGCTATTTAAGTGTCCCCTCCCTCGCTTACAAAGGGGACACTAAAGTGACGATTATCTTCACCCTCGTTTACAAAGAATACATCCGTGACGAAAGACGAATTAGAGCCAAGCAGATGGTTAGAAGTTAGTGAAAATCACTGTCATTTTGGGATGCATTGACTCTTTGTCGAACTGCAAGGAAGTGATTAAACGTTAGTGGAAATCGGATGTATTAAATCTTTGTCGTACTGCTGGGCTATGATAACACAGGTCAAGAACATTTAAAAGAAGTCTAAACCCATAGATCAAAGTTTATTTTTCTAAAGCTGAATCCGATTCCTCACATCATGTTTTGCAGATATCGTGCCATAAAGATTGTTTAGGAAATATTTAATATGTTAGAACAGTGCGAAGATAACTTTATTTATAAAATCCATTAAGTCCAATCTGTCGACTTTAAAATAAAAGTTTAACCTATGTTATAACACTTTCTTCTTTCGAGATCTCTTAGCAAGAAGATATAACAAAGGTTAAACTTTATTATAAAGTCGACAGATTGGACTTTACATGGTCAAAAATTTTTTAATTTGTCTCGAAAACCGGATGTAATAGAATCAGGATCAGCACTATACTTTAGTAAACTTTGATCTCTGCGGTAAAAATTTGTATGAGCATCCATAATGCTTTATGTTCGGGGTACAGTATTTCGAATACTATGAACTAGAGTTCGATTAGAAGAAGATTCCAATTATATTAACAAAGAAGATTTCTTGTTTAGCTATCAATGACCTTCAATATTTTAAATGATTTATTGACAATAAACATATTTTCTAAAAGAGGGTCTAAATGGGGGACCGATCCTCATAAAATTTGTCAGATAGATCTATAGTATAGGCATGTTTATATTGAATTTCGTCGCTATACCATTATTTATAAGCCAGCGCTAGGGTCAAATAGGGACCACCAATATTGTACAATATCATTTCTGGATACATAAAACTTACTTGAGTTAATTACTTAGTTATTAAGAAGTTTTTCGGGGGGACACTTGTATGAGCACTGAACGAAAACGTTGACCGATATAACCCATAAGCAATACCAAACATTCTATAGAGAATATTTAGGAGACATTTTCAGCCCTCCTGCCTTCGATACACAGATGGACATGGCTAGATCGTCTAAACACGATAGCCAAAAAGATTATGTTTTATAATGTTCAAATAATATTATTCTTCCAGGAAGTCATAAAAAGGAACTGTCACAAACACATGTTGTAAAGATTCTCCTTAAAATCCACAGAGTACATCTAAAACACCACTTACTATGACAAGTTAAGGTCGTATGAATAAGGTCCAAATCCTCTTTGGTATGACAAACTTTATGTTCTCAAATATTAATCTATATGTCCCAAACCATGACCAGAAAGACAATTTTTGGTTGGTTCTATCTAGATTTTCACTTAATTTAGAGAAAAACATAGTTTTCATATAAAATACCTCGGAAATGTATAAACACTTTTATATGTCTTCAACAGGTGACGATACCTTCTGAAATGTCTAGGGATTAGTACCACGACCGGATAACTTTTACTACAGTACGGCCTCGAATTGTGCTTCTAAAGGCAACACAAGGCGGGAACCTACTGTACGATTATAGAAAAATCGACGTTTGGTTTGCGAACCCGAAATTATTATCTATCTACCTTTCTATCTACCTTCTATCTATCTATCTATCTATCTATCTATCTATCTATCTATCTATCTATCTATCTATCTATCTATCTATCTATCTATCTATCTATCTATCTATCTATCTATCTATCTATCTATCTATCTATCTATCTATCTATCTATCTATCTATCTATCTATCTATCTATCTATCTATCTATCTATCTATCTATCTATCTATCTATCTATCTATCTATCTACCTACCTACCTACCTACCTACCTACCTACCTACCTACCTACCTACCTACCTACCTATCTATCTATCTATCTATCTATCTATCTATCTTCTATCTATCTATCTATCTATCTATCTATCTATCTATCTATCTATCTATCTATCTATCTATCTATCTATCTATCTATCTATCTATCTATCTATCTATCTATCTATCTATCTATCTATCTATCATCTATCTATCTATCTATCTATCTATCTATCTATCTATCTATCTATCTATCTATCTATCTATCTATCTATCTATCTATCTATCTATCTATCTATCTTCTATCTATCTATCTATCTATCTATCTATCTATCTATCTATCTATCTATCTATCTATCTATCTATCTATCTATCTATCTATCTATCTATCTATCTATCTATCTATCTATCTATCTATCTATCTATCTATCTATCTATCTATCTATCTATCTATCTATCTACTATCTATCTATCTATCTATCTATCTATCTATCTATCTATCTATCTATCTATCTATCTATCTATCTATCTATCTATCTATCTATCTATCTATCTATCTATCTATCTATCTATCTATCTATCTATCTATCTATCTATCTATCTACTATCTATCTATCTATCTAGCTATCTATCTATCTATCTATCTATCTATCTATCTATCTATCTATCTATCTATCTATCTATCTATCTATCTATCTATCTATCTATCTATCTATCTATCTATCTATCTATCTATCTATCTATCTATCTATCTATCTACTATCTATCTATCTATCTATCTATCTATCTATCTATCTATCTATCTATCTATCTATTCTATCTATCTATCTTATCTATCTATCTATCTATCTATCTATCTATCTATCTATCTATCTATCTATCTATCTATCTATCTATCTATCTTCTATCTATCTATCTATCTATCTATCTATCTATCTATCTATCTATCTATCTATCTATCTATCTATCTATCTATCTATCTTCTATCTATCTATCTATCTATCTATCTATCTATCTATCTATCTATCTATCTATCGATCTATCTATCTATCTATCTATTATCTATCTATCTATCTATCTATCTATCTATCTATCTATCTATCTATCTATCTATCTATCTATCTATCTATCTATCTAATCTATCTATCTATCTATCTATCTATCTATCTATCTATCTATCTATCTATCTATCTATCTATCTATCTATCTATCTATCTATCTATCTATCTATCTATCTTATCTATCTATCTATCTATCTATCTATCTATCTATCTATCTATATATCTATCTATCTATCGATCTGTACTTCATGTACTCAAGAACTACTGTACCTAATAGGACAAGAATTCAAATAAGTATTTCAGTGGTGGAGTTCTACAATTTTACTTTACGTTACTTAAATTTTACTTCTAACGCAAAGCTCAACTCTAGTGATTTCGATCAAATTTTTACCAATCTTCTATTCTATGGTCTAGCCTATTGACTAAGCTATCGTATTGTCTATATAGGGAGAATATTGCAAATGTATATCTACACATAACTGATTGATAACTAAATTAGAGTTATTCCACGAAGCAGTTATTCGAAACATCTAAAACTAAAACTTTCCACTGATCGACCAAAGATCTGCTATTCCTTTTCAATCATAGTTTGAAATCTGTTATTGATTCAACAAAACACCGATTATATAAAGAAGATATTGAAATGTTAAGGAATATATATTCCTAGGAGGTAATACAAATTTCGATTCACCAAAAAGTATAATTTAAGTTAACTGTATACAAACTCAAGTTTTAATCTGACTGCATTAAAATGTTTTATTAAATTTTCAAAGAGTTATGAGAAATCGAATGAAATATTTTTAGTCTTAGGTTTAAACTGAGATAGTATAAGGAAACGTTATAATTTTATATTTCAAATGATATATAATAAGGATAAATATATGTAGATATAATTTTAATTTTGATATATTTAAGTTAATATTTAATAAGTATTTTATGTACAATATTTTATAAATGTTTATGCATAAATTACATAGTATGTATGTATATGTAAATATTTATATAATTATATAGTTCATATATTTAATATTTACAGCCATTAAAGTATAACAAGCAAAGGGAGGATTAATGTTCAATATTTAAAGGATAAAAATTTTCAATTTTAACTTTATAATTTTAGAGTCTTTTATTTAAGCCAATTTATTAATTATTTCAAATGTTTGTGGATTTTTAATAAATTTTTTTATTGTTTTTTTTTTCTTTAAGGAAAGGGGGGAAAAATAGTAAAGTGGAGTTAGTGGTAATAATAGTTTATTTTTAAGTATATATCATGATATAGTAATAAAGTTTTTGTATAAATTGTTTTGTTTGATTTTGAGAGAAAAAAAAAAACAAAAGTGGGACTCACAATGTCTTTAGGCATATTAGTCCTTTTATAATTTAACTGTAAATGTATATCAAAAGAGTTTCTTAATTGTTGTAGCAGTAGTTGTTGGTGTAATAAACCACTTGGCAACATTAACAACAACGTCGTCATGACTTGTTTACACTTTTGGTTGTCACTAATTAAGGTATTTTTAAATAGAGCTTTAATGATTTTAAATATTAAGTTTTAATTTTTTTTTAATTTCAAAAGTTTTATATTTTTTTAGTAAATTATTTTAATTATTACTGATTTTCTAATAAATTCCACTTAATTTATTAGTACATAAAGCCTGCTGTTTACTTTTAATAGTTGTTGCTTTTGATTAAGTACCACAAAAAAAAGTTCACTTTTCTTCCTCCCTTCCTGTTTCTTTTTAGGTCTATATTTATTAAATTCAGACAAAAATTTAGTCATTTTTATAAAATCTACTAGATTATGATTTTTAAGTTTTTCTTTTTTAAATTTAAATTTGATTAATGAGTGTGTATGTATTAGTTGCAGAGACATAAATGTCATTCACATTTGCAAAACTTTATTGTTGTTATTATGATTTGCATACATTGGCTTTTTTTTACTCACATACACACACACACACACCTACACAAACACTCTTACTCTTATAGAATTCTCTTCGCTAAAGAGGGGGCTAATCCTTAAACACAACACATACATTTAATATGTCAATACATATGTATGTGTAAAATTTTAATTAAATATCCTTAAATTATAAATGGTCCATATGTTGTTGTTATTTTTATAATTTTTAGTACAAAAAAAAAATGTTGCTTTAAATTTTCACAGAACTAAACCCCAAATATTTCTATTAATTTTCTTTTAATTTATTTTTCTTTTTTGGCAGTTTTCTTTCCCTTTTATTGTATTTTAAGCTTTTTCTTCTTTTGTTTATTTTCTTAAGATTTTTGCTTAATTGCTTTTGTTTTATAACTTCTTTTCATTTTTTTTTCTTTTTGTGTACAAAACTCAACTTACAGAACTTTACAGGGTGTATCACTTGTTTATCATACCGACAAAATATTACACGCCGAAAGTGTAGCCACGACCGGCTACTTCTTGTTCACGTACGCGTTTTCTGTAGACTGATTTGAATTTTCCGCCTTGAGTCTTTTTAAGCCCATAAACATAAAGTTAAAGCTAAAGAAGGATGCGAGCGAGAGCACAATGTAGTCAAATTTTCCAACTGCACACACTCGTCATCGTCTCTTTGCTTTATTGTTATTGTTGTTTCGGTTTTTTGGCCATTACACACCCACACACACTCTCCACAGAACAAAAAAAGGAAAATATAACGGAGTTCGTTTTCCTCTTTGTTTTTGTTTTTATCCTCACTGTCTGAGTATTTTACAACAACAATAATGACAATATGAAAATTAACTCACAGTAACATGATTTCCACCCTCTAAAACACTCACCCACACACACTCATACACCTTTTACTTCCCCCCAAAAAGACTCTCTTTTTATTAAGAAAAAAAATATAATTTTCTTGTTCTAGGCCATATTTACTTGCCTTTGTTGTTGTTATATGTTGTATTACTATTTTTGTTTACATTTTTTTTTCACTCTCATAACTGTGTTTATGCCTGAGTGTATGTGTGAGTGCAATGTTACGCTGAGTATTACAAGGACCACAAATATTATGAAAAGAAGGAAATCTGTAAAAGTTGTGATTTCTTCTTTAATGAAAAAGGCAACAACAACAACAGCGATAAAAGAGAAAGAAATTGTACCACAAAATTAGCGAAACTGGTTTTATTTATTGCAAGTTTTCATTAGGTGGGAAGGGGGGTTAGGAATGTTTGGGTCGCTTGATTTCCAATTAAATTTTAAACAGGATGTTTTATAATAGTTTTTCTACGAAAAGAAATTATGCAAATCTATCTATCTATCTATCTATCTATCTATCTATCTATCTATCTATCTATCTATCTATCTATCTATCTATCTATCTATCTATCTATCTATCTATCTATCTATCTATCTATCTATCTATCTATCTATCTATCTATCTATCTATCTATCTATCTATCTATCTATCTATCTATCCATCCATCTATCTATCTATCTATCTATCTATCTATCTATCTATCTATCTATCTATCTATCTATCTATCTATCTATCTATCTATCTATCTATCTATCTATCTATCTATCTATCTACTATCTATCTATCATCTATCTATCTATCTATCTATCTATCTATCTATCTATCTATCTATCTATCTATCTATCTATCTATCTATCTATCTATCTATCTATCTATCTATCTATCTATCTATCTATCATCTATCTATCTATCTATCTATCTATCTATCTATCTATCTATCTATCTATCTATCTATCTATCTATCTATCTATCTATCTATCTATCTATCTATCTATCTATCTATCTATCTATCTATCTATCTATCTCTATCTATCTATCTATCTATCTATCTATCTATCTATCTATCTATCTATCTATCTATTCTATCTATCTATCTATCTATCTATCTATCTATCTATCTATCTATCTATCTATCTATCTATCTATCTATCTATCTATCTATCTATCTATCTATCTATCTATCTATCTATCTATCTATCTATCTATCTATCTATCTATCTATCTATCTATCTATCTATCTATCTATCTATCTATCTATCTATCTACTATCTATCTATCTATCTATCTATCTATCTATCTATCTATCTATCTATCTATCTATCTATCTATCTATCTATCTATCTATCTATCTATCTATCATCTATCTATCTATCTATCTATCATCTATCTATCTATCTATCTATCTATCTATCTATCTATCTATCTATCTATCTATCTATCTATCTTCTATCTATCTATCTATCTATCTATCTATCTATCTATCTATCTATCTATCTATCTATCTATCTCTATCTATCTATCTATCTATCTAGCTATCTATCTTCTATCTATCTTCTATCTATCCTATCTAGCTATCTATCTATCTATCTATCTATCTATCTATCTATCTATCTACTATCTATCTATCTATCTATCTATCTATCTATCTATCTATCTATCTATCTATCTATCTATCTATCTATCTATCTATCTATCTATCTATCTATCTATCTATCTATCTATCTATCTAGCTATCTATCTATCTTCTATCTATCTATCTATCTATCTATCTATCTATCTATCTATCTATCTATCTATCTATCTATCTATCTATCTACTATCTATCTATCTATCTATCTATCTATCTATCTATCTATCTATCTATCTATCTATCTATCTACTATCTATCTATCTAGCTATCTATCTATCTATCTATCTATCTATCTATCTATCTATCTAGCTATCTATCTATCTATCTATCTATCTATCGATCTAGCTATCTATCTTTATCTATCTAGCTATCTATCTTATCTATCTATCTATCTATCTATCTATCTATCTATCTATCTATCTATCTATCTATCTATCTATCTATTTACGGTGGGGTCTACAATCAAATCTAAATAGAAAATTTGTAAGAAAATTCCATATAAAAGAATTTATCATCTAGCTCCCACCAAAACCCTTTAAACAATTTTAATTTTTAATTATAAATAACTTTCAACCCAATATTTAAACCAATGAGAAATAAAACCAAGCAATAAAAATTTATTCATAAACTTCTTAAAAACAACGACAACAAAAATTTAAATAAATATTTCATGTTAAAAAGAAATTTAAATGCGTACATTTTATAAAAAGTTAGAAAACATGGAGTTATTTCCGGCGTATGTCAAAAACAAAAGAAATAAAACCCTCGCAATTAAAATTATAAACCCTCAAAAATATTTTATAAAATAACACCCACACATACACAGACTAAACAAAATTAACAAATTTTATTTGTTTATTATTATTTAGAAGTATTTACAGTCATGTTGAATGTTTTTAATAAAAAATTTAGGTCAGTTGGTTTTTAGTTAAAATAAAATAAATGGCATTAAAATTGGAATAAGGAAGGGGTTAGTTACTTTTCTACTACAAACATATTTCTTAGTATTGTTATTGTTATGATTATTGTATTCTAAATAGTTTTTAATATTAGAAAAAAAAACTATTTTAAAACTAATGAATCATAGTTGATATATAATATACAAACAGAAGCTTATATAAAACTTATTTCTATGTATTATTTAAGTAAATAAGTGTATGTATGTATATAAAAATTTCTGTATAATACCGGCTTGTAATTTTGTACCAAAAATATTACAAAATTATGGGAAAAAACTGCACAAAATTTTATGGAGATTTTAATTTGTAACAAACTTACTCTCATATTCAGACATCAAATACATTAATGTGGAGTGTGTGTGTGTGAATTTTTATCGTTTATGTATATTTTCCACCTTCTCCCCCTATCACCCTCTAAAATCAGCAAGTGTTTGTTGTAATATTTTCCCATTTATATGCTTGTGTCTGTGTCGCGACTATTATGTGTTGTTTTTGTTGTAATATTATATTAATAATGATGTTGAATTTTATCAATCGCAATGATAAAGACGAACATCAATTTTCAATAATACAGACACACATACTTATGCAAACGCAACACATTTATACATTGAACACATAATCAGACACATGTGAGTTAGTGAGGAGAGCGTGACTAAAAAAGTTTTCATGTTGTCACTTTCTTAGTTTAATAAGTATAAATCTGCGTGCCATTCGTCAATATTTTGGCTAGTATATTGTTCAGACTACAGCTTAAAGTCTAGAGTTTAGTCTATAGTCGTCCAGACTACAGTCAGGACTGTAGTCCAGTCTATAATCCAGACTGTAGTCTAGTCTATAGTCCAGACTGTAGTCTAGTCTCTAGCCCAGACTATAGTCTAGCTTATAGTCCAGACTTTAGTCTTGTCTATAATCGAGACAGTAGTCTAGTCCATAGTCCAGACTGTAGTCTAGTCTTTAGTCCAAACTGTAGTCTAGCTTATAGTCCAGACCGTAGTCTAGTCTTTATTCCAGACTGTAGTCTAGTTTATAGTCCAGACAGTCTGCAAATAGAAATCTGCATGGCCATTCGTCAATATTTTGGCTAGTATATAATTCAGACTTCAGCATAAAGTCCAGAGTTTAGTCTATAGTTGTCCAGACTGTGTCTACAGTCAAGACTGTAGTCTAGTCTATAATCCAGACTGTAGTCTAGTCTATAGTCCAGACTGTAGTCTAGTCTCTAGCCCAGACTATAGTCTAGTTTATAGTCCAGACTTTGTCTATAGTCGAGATTGTAGTCTAGTCCATAGTCCAGACTGTAGTCTAGTATTTAGTCCAAACTGTAGTCTAGCCTATAGTCCAGACCGTAGTCTAGTCTTTAGTCCAGACTGTAGTCTAGTTTATAGTCCAGACTGTAGTTAATGTTATAGTCCAGACCGTAGTCTAGTTTTTAGTCCAGACTCTAGTCTAGCTTATAGTCTAGTCTATAGTATTGTCTATAGCCCAGAGTATAGTCTACTCTATAGTCCAGACTACAGTCTTGTCTATAGTTCAGACTGTAGTCTTGTCTATAGTCCAGACTGTAGTCTTGTCTATAGTCCGTGCTGTAGTCTTGTCTATAGTCCAGACTGTAGTCTAGTCTCTAGCCCAGACTATAGTCTAGCTTATAGTCCAGACTTTAGTCTTGTCTATAATCGAGACAGTAGTCTAGTCCATAGTCCAGACTGTAGTCTAGTCTTTAGTCCAAACTGTAGTCTAGCTTATAGTCCAGACCGTAGTCTAGTCTTTATTCCAGACTGTAGTCTAGTTTATAGTCCAGACAGTCTGCAAATAGAAATCTGCGTGGCCATTCGTCAATATTTTGGCTAGTATATAGTCCAGACTACAGCTTAAAGTCCAGAGTTTAGTCTATAGTCGTCCAGACTGTGTCTACAGTCAAGACTGTAGTCTAGTCTATAATCCAGACTGTAGTCTAGTCTATAGTCCAGACTGTAGTCTAGTCTCTAGCCCAGACTATAGTCTAGTTTATAGTCCAGAGTTTGTCTATAGTCGAGATTGTAGTCTAGTCCATAGTCCAGACTGTAGGCTAGTCTTTAGTTCAGACTGTAGTCTAGCTTATAGTCCAGACCGTAGTCTAGTCTTTAGTCCAGACTGTAGTTAATCTTATAGTCCAGGCCGTAGTCTAGTTTTAGTCCAGACTCTAGTCTAGCTTATAGTCTAGTCTATAGTATTGTCTATAGTCCAGAGTATAGTCTACTCTATAGTCCAGACTACAGTCTTGTCTATAGTTCAGACTGTAGTCTTGTCTATAGTCCAGACTTGTAGTCTAGTCTATAGTCCAGACTGTAGTCTTGTCTATAGTCCGTGCTGTAGTCTTGTCTATAGTCCAGACTGTAGTCTAGTCTAGAGTCCAGTACTATAGTCTATGGTCCAGACTATAGTCTAGTTTATAGTCCAGACTGTAGTCTAGTTTATAGTCCAGACTATATTCTAGTCTATAGTCCAGACTGTAGTCTAATCCCCAGACCAGACTATAGTCTAGTTTATAGTCCAGACTGTAGTCTAGTCTATAGTCCAGACCGTAGTCTAGTCTTTAGTACAGACTGTAGACTAGTCTATAGTTCTGACTATAGTCTAGTCTATAGTCCTGACTATAGTCTAGTCTATAGTCCTAACTATAGTCTAGTCTATAGTCCAGACTGTAGTTTAGTCTATAGTCCAGACTGTAGTCTAGACCTTAGTCCAGACTGTAGTCTAGACTTTAGTTCAGACTGTAGTCTAGCTTATAGCCCTGACTGTAGTTTAGTCTTTAGTCCAGACTGTAGACTAGTCTATAGTCGAAACTAGTCTAGTTTATAGTCCAGACTGTAGTGTAGTCTATAGTCCAGATTATAGTCTAGTCTATAATCCAGACTATAGTCTTGTCTTGTCTTTAGCCCAGACTATAGTCTAGTTTATAGTGTACAATATAGTCTATTCTATATTACAGAATATACTCTAGTCTATAGTCCATATTATAGTCTATTCTATAGTCCAGACTCTACTCCAGTCTATAGTCCAGACTATAGTCTAGTATATAGTCCAGACTATAGTTTACAGTGTAGTCTATTTTCCTGTCTATATTCGAGACCATACTTTAAACTATAGTCCAGACTATACTATAGTACAAACGAATGCTATAGTCCAGATTTTAGTGCAGATTATGGTATAGTGTATAGTCTATAATCCATACTATTTTCTCGACTACAGTTTAGTCTACAGTCCTCTCTTTAAACTATGCTACAGTATAAACTCTAGTTTATCCCACTTAAAATCTTTGAAATTTCCTCCAAAAATCTAAACGTGACTTCTAATAATCTGTGTCACGCTTCCTACTCCCATGCATTCAACACAAAGCTGTTTTTATCAACCAAAGGCAAAAACAGCACGCGCTTTTCATTATTATTTTTTTCTTATTTTCAAATTTTATGTATTTTTCATGTTCGTATTTAATTAAAAGGGAGCAAGTCTTCCTTTTTTTATTATATTTTCTCTTCAAATATATAATTGAGTATTATTTTTGATATTTTCTTCCTTTTTTTGTGTGCCATGGTTCCATATTTTTAAGCGCATGTTTCATAGACCTCTATACTCCACGGACACGGGCACGAAAAGAAAGCCTTTTATTTGAGTGAGTGAAATTTGATATTTTTTCTATAAGTATTCGAAGTATTTATGAGGTTGCTGCAGACCAAAGACCAAGTGTGCCAGCCTAACTACGAACCGGTAAGTAGTGGAGAGGGAGGGGGTGGTTGGTTTTTATTTGATTTTGTTGTTGTTATTTTTTTCAAAGGTATTTTTCTTCGTTATCATCAAGTGTCCGTGTAAATAATATACAAAAACAAATAATATAGTTTCAGGCTAAAAGTTTTATTTTATTTTTATTATATTTTTTTTTTTTTGCTTTTAAGGGTGGAGGCGATTAAAAAGATGCTAAAGCAAAGATTTTATGTATAAAAGATTTTCGATATAAAAATTTCTATTTTTTCCACATTTTAATAACCAAAATATCCCAAAGTTTTAACATCCCTTAGTAGTTCGCTTTCATTAGCCAATATTTTATGTATAGTTTTTTCCAAATGATCATATTGAAAATGTGGTGAGAAAGGCATATCTTCAAATGCTAACATATCCACAATGCCATTGCTATTGCCCACTGCTACAGAGCGTCCACAAAGTGAGAGTCTAAGGGATTAGTAGTAAACAAACTGTAATACTTAATACAAATTCCAAATACTTACTTAAAAGTGGTGTAATACGGTTCTTTAGTCACTTTGCTGCTGGAAGCTGGTTTAAGTATGCTTCTCTTTAAATCCCAGACATCTAAGGAATTACGATGCAGGGCCACGATTATGGAGGAGTGTGTGGTACTCCAACTGGCAGCATGTACGGGACCCATGTGATATTTAAGGGTAATCAAAGGTTTCTGAATGCCTAGCAACCAAATGCGTATACACCTGGAAATGTTTTGTTTATGCTATAAGTTTTTTAGTCCTGAATATGATGAGAATATGTCCAGAATATGATGTTGTCTATAGTCCAGACTATAGTTCAGGCCATAGTCTAGTCTATAGCCCAGACTAAAGTCAAGTCTATAGTCCAGAGTGAAGTCAAGTCTATTATACAGACTATAGTAGTCTTTAGTCCAGACTATAGTCTAGCCTATATACCCAGACTATAATCTAGTCTATAGTACAGACTATAGTCTAGTCTATAGTCCAGTCTATAATCTAGTCTAAAGTCCAGACTTTTGCCTAGTCTATACCCCGGACTATAATCTAGTCTATAATCTAGACTTTAGCCTAGTCTATAGCCTGGACTATTTTCTGGTCTATATTAAAACCTATATTCTTTCCTACAGTCTAATCTATAGTCTAAAATATGATCTTGTCTATAGTCCAGACTTTAGACTAGTCTATAGTTCAAACTGTAGACTAGTCTATAGGCCAGACTATAGTTAAGTCTATAGTCTAAACTATAATCAAGTCTATAGTCCAGACTATAATCTAGTCTATATTCCAGACTATAGTCTAGTCCATAGTCCAGACTATAATCTAGTCTATAGTCCAGACTTTAGCCTAGTCTATACCACGGACTATAACCTAGTCTATAATCCAGACTTTAGCCTAGTCTATAGCCTAGACTATTTTCTGGTCTATATTAAAACCTACTCTTTTCTATAGTCTAATCTGTAATCTAAAATATGATCTTGCCTATAATCCAGACTACAGTTTAGTCTATATTCTAAACTATAATGAAGTCTATAGTCCAGACTATAGTCAAGTCTATAGTCCAGACTATAGTCAAGTCTATAGTCCAGACTATAGTCAAGTCTATAGTCCAGACTATAGTCAAGTCTATAGTCCAGACTATAGTCAAGTCTATACTCCAGACTATAGTCAGTCTATAGTCCAGACTATAGTCAAGTCTATAGTCCAGACTATAGTCAAGTCTATAGTCCAGACTATAGTCTATAGTCAAGTCTATAATCCAGACTATAGTCTAGGCTATAGTCCATACCAGACTATAGTTTGGACTATAGACTGGACAATAACGAAAATTTGTGATCATTTATTTCTATAAAAGATCAACTATAGTTGATATATGAAAAACGTAAAATCAGACGTAGGTCCTTAATAACGCTTCAATTGAGAATAAATATGAAAAACACAAATTGGCTTCAGATCTTTAAATAACGCTCCGATTGAGAAAACAACTAAAATTTTTGATTTCTCATCAAAAATCTATATTTATTTGAAGAAGCTAAAATCGGCTGTAGATCATTAAATAACGTTCTAACTGATAAAATAGTAAAAATTTTTAATCAGTCATATATTCCATCAAAAATCGTTTCTTATATGAAAAACTTAGAATCATCAGTAGATCCTTAAATACCACTCCAATTAAGAAAATAGCAAAAAAAATCGTAACACTCACCAATCATTTCCACATGTTAAATACAATTTCGGAGACCAAGGAGAAAACTCCATATAATTAACACCAGCCTCATGCAATTGCAAAACTTCCAAATGTTGATTGGGATAATTGGTTGAACACTTATGTAAACAGCCTTCGTCGGTCAAAACATAATAAATATCGCCATGTAAAGCATCCAAACATATATAAATACCCTGAGGATGACGATTAGCTTCCATCTGCGATAATTTCTTATCTATCTCTAAACCTTCTATTTTGCCCTCGATACGATCCAATTTCATTTGTTGGAAACCCAAAAGATTTGGGCTATTAACAATGGTATATCTGGTAATAATACCATCTCGAGATAAAGCCAAAAACGGTTCTAAATCATGGAGTTTGGTTTCATTAACATTATGAGCAATCCATTTTATGGAAGTAATGGGTTCACAGCTGGTAGTAGCCAAACGCGGTGAGACACTAATTTTAGGTTGTTCGACATTACTTATGTCATAGACGAACACACTGCCATCATAGAGACCAATGGCTAAAAGTTGTGGTGTGTAGGGTGAAAATTCCACTGTGACCACGGGAGCCTGAAAACTATACATTCTTTCAGGATTGACAGGATTTTTAATATTCCATATAAAAACACTACCCGTTTTGGGTAGCACACCACTAAAGGTACTAAAAGTGCCATAACCTACTGCTAGAATATCACCATTTTTGGGACACCAACTCATATCCGCTACCGAACAACTTTCGCTAGTACTAAAGCTAGCCGTAAATGACCATAAAAGCTGTAGATTATAACGATAATTAACCTCCAAAGCTAAAGGATCTGGCATAATCATATTACGAAATCTTCTTTGTTCATTCTCAAATGTATTACCCGCCAATATGCGCATGGTCAACATTAAGGCTAACTTGAATTTAGGCGTTTGATTTATGGCCACAAATTGATCAACACCTCCCACTTTATATGTAGTAACTTGGATCTTTTGGGTACCATCTACATCCACACTTTGGGTTGTTTTCTCTAGGTCCTTATAGGTATCAAACATTTCGAAATTCGAAACATACGAGCCAACATTACTGCGGGCTATGGAGTCTGTATTAACACCACGAGTTTTAGTAAGTTCTTGGGTAGTTTGTGTCTCCACCGGAAAACATATACGTTTGCGTCCCTGTCCCTCTGTTAAATACTCATAACGTTTATTATCCTGCTCCACCAAACGGCCCTCTTCGGTGTCTTTTAAAACAGTAGTGCTGCGTTGCTCGAACAACACTATATCGGGGGTTTTTTGCAATTTTATTTTTATAAAGGGATTAGGACGTCTCAATGTTTTGCGTTTTTCTTGCCTCAAATGAGATTTAGTATCGGGTTTGACATCCAGCGTAAGTTTACTTAACTTAATCTGTAATTATATGTATATACGCTTTTAAACGATTCAAAAAAAGTTTTGTTTGATTTCCTTACTCCATTTTCTATATCATCTAATGAGGCTTTAATAGAACCCAAACCTTTTCTTTGCTGTATCATTAAATCTTCTAAATCTTCTGAATTATACGATTCTTGACTTTGTTGCATTTCATGTTTATTAATTTTCTTATTTAATTGTTCAAATTTTAACTTTAAATATTCTTCCGGATTTAAGGACATGTTGCTGTTTAGAATATATTTTATTGAAAAACAATGTTTTTTTATCCCTATTCCCTTTAAGAACTTGCTTAGTTACCACCGGTGTTAGTAGGACTTAGCAACGCAAAAGGCTGGGCACGAAATTGTTTGTCAAATTTTATATGAAAAACATTAAACCGGCAGTAGATCCTTAAAAATGGCGCCAGTTGAGAAAATAATGACAATCTGTGATCCTCATATTTTCTATCAAAAATCGATTTTTATATGAAATATATTAAATCGGCCTAGATCCTTAAATAACGTTCTAATCGAGAAAATGCAAATCGATTTCTGAGTTCTAGTTCAGTTCTAGTTCAGTTCTAGTTCAGTTCTAGTTCAGTTCTAGTTCAGTTCTAGTTCAGTTCTAGTTCAGTTCTAGTTCAGTTCTAGTTCAGTTCTAGTTCAGTTCTAGTTCAGTTCTAGTTCAGTTCTAGTTCAGTTCTAGTTCAGTTCTAGTTCAGTTCTAGTTCAGTTCTAGTTCAGTTCTAGTTAGTTCTAATTCAGTTCTAATTCAGTTCTAATTCAGTTCTAGTTAAGTTCTAGTTAAGTTCTAGTTAGTTCTAGTTCAGTTCTAGTTCAGTTCTAGTTCAGTTCTAGTTCAGTTCTAGTTCAGTTCTAGTTCAGTTCTAGTTCAGTTCTAGTTCAGTTCAGTTCTAGTTCAGTTCTATTCAGTTCTAGTTCAGTTCTAGTTCAGTTCTAGTTCAGTTCTAGTTCAGTTCTAGTTCAGTTCTAGTTCAGTTCTAGTTCAGTTCTAGTTCAGTTCTAGTTCAGTTCTAGTTCAGTTCTAGTTCAGTTCTAGTTCAGTTCTAGTTCAGTTCTAGTTCAGTTCTAGTTCAGTTCTAGTTCAGTTCTAGTTCAGTTCTAGTTCAGTTCTAGTTCAGTTCTAGTTCAGTTCTAGTTCAGTTCTAGTTCAGTTCTAGTTCAGTTCTAGTTCAGTTCTAGTTCAGTTCTAGTTCAGTTCTAGTTCAGTTCTAGTTCAGTTCTAGTTCAGTTCTAGTTCAGTTCTAGTTCAGTTCTAGTTCAGTTCTAGTTCAGTTCTAGTTCAGTTCTAGTTCAGTTCTAGTTCAGTTCTAGTTCAGTTCTAGTTCAGTTCTAGTTCAGTTCTAGTTCAGTTCTAGTTCAGTTCTAGTTCAGTTCTAGTTCAGTTCTAGTTCAGTTCTAGTTCATTCAGTCAGTTCTAGTTCAGTTCTAGTTCAGTTCTAGTTCAGTTCTAGTTCAGTTCTAGTTCAGTTCTAGTTCAGTTCTAGTTCAGTTCTAGTTCAGTTCTATTCAGTTCTATTCAGTTCTAGTTCAGTTCTAGTTCAGTTCTAGTTCAGTTCTAGTTCAGTTCTAGTTCAGTTCTAGTTCAGTTCTAGTTCAGTTCTAGTTCAGTTCTAGTTCAGTTCTAGTTCAGTTCTAGTTCAGTTCTAGTTCAGTTCTAGTTCAGTTCTAGTTCAGTTCTAGTTCAGTTCTAGTTCAGTTTCTAGTTCAGTTCAGTTCAGTTCTAGTTCAGTTCTAGTTCAGTTCTAGTTCAGTTCTAGTTCAGTTCTAGTTCAGTTCTAGTTCAGTTCTAGTTCAGTTCTAGTTCAGTTCTAGTTCAGTTCTAGTTCAGTTCTAGTTCAGTTCTAGTTCAGTTCTAGTTCAGTTCTAGTTCAGTTCTAGTTCAGTTCTAGTTCAGTTCTAGTTCAGTTCTAGTTCAGTTCTAGTTCAGTTCTAGTTCAGTTCTAGTTCAGTTCTAGTTCAGTTCTAGTTCAGTTCTAGTTCAGTTCTAGTTCAGTTCTAGTTCAGTTCTAGTTCAGTTCTAGTTCAGTTCTAGTTCAGTTCTAGTTAGTTCAGTTCTAGTTCAGTTCTAGTTCAGTTCTAGTTCAGTTCTAGTTCAGTTCTAGTTCAGTTCTAGTTCAGTTCTAGTTCAGTTCTAGTTCAGTTCTAGTTCAGTTCTAGTTCAGTTCTAGTTCAGTTCTAGTTCAGTTCTAGTTCAGTTCTAGTTCAGTTCTAGTTCAGTTCTAGTTCAGTTAGTTCAGTTCTAGTTCAGTTCTAGTTCAGTTCTAGTTCAGTTCTAGTTCAGTTCTAGTTCAGTTCTAGTTCAGTTCTAGTTCAGTTCTAGTTCAGTTCTAGTTCAGTTCTAGTTCAGTTCTAGTTCAGTTCTAGTTCAGTTCTAGTTCAGTTCTAGTTCAGTTCTAGTTCAGTTCTAGTTCAGTTCTAGTTCAGTTCTAGTTCAGTTCTAGTTCAGTTCTAGTTCAGTTCTAGTTCAGTTCTAGTTCAGTTCTAGTTCAGTTCTAGTTCAGTTCTAGTTCAGTTCTAGTTCAGTTCTAGTTCAGTTCTAGTTCAGTTCTAGTTCAGTTCTAGTTCAGTTCTAGTTCAGTTCTAGTTCAGTTCTAGTTCAGTTCTAGTTCAGTTCTAGTTCAGTTCTAGTTCAGTTCTAGTTCAGTTCTAGTTCAGTTCTAGTTTAGTTCTAGTTCTAGTTCTTTCTAGTTCAGTTCTAGTTCAGTTCTAATCAGTTCTAGTTCAGTCTAGTTCAGTTCTAGTTCAGTTTTAGTTCAGTTCTAGTTCAGTTCTAGTTCAGTTCTAGTTTAGTCCTAGTTCAGTGCCAGTTCAGTTCCAATTCAGCTTTAGTTCAGTTCTTCTGAAAAAAATTGTCATTGTGTACCTAATCTTCAATATTATGTATTTAAGAACATTTTTTGTTGTGGAAAGCTACAAATACGATTATTATAGATAAACGTCCAATGAAAGATTAACGGAAATCACTAATTGCTTCAATTGCCATCTTTTTGTTAATTGGATGGTTTATCATTTTATTGTTTATTTAATTTAAATTTATTTTATTTACACAAATAGTAAAAGATTTATGATGAGGATTTACGTTGTCGCATTTCCAAAAGCTCCTTGTATTGTTCTATCGAACCATCTTCATGCTTGGAACTAAATGATGGTGTAGATTTATCCTTTTCAGCCTCAGAATTTTCATGACTATTATCCTTTTTTGAATGTTTAGATTTTTTGATTTTATCCCTAACACGTTTACCCAAACGTGAAGCCAGCAAAACTTTACTAACTTTAGAACTTTTCATATAGCGTGTATGCCAGGACTGGAAGTAAAGAGGAATTAAGAAATATTATTTTTTTATCATGTTATTTTTTACATCTAAATATTTTATTTACCTGATTGTAATCCTCTCTTTCCTCTTCACTTGATTCTAGTGAAATAACATCTTCTTGGTTTTCATCTTGCGATTTCTGATTATCTTGCGATGAATCTTCTGTAGGTTTTTTATTATAGGGTGAGTCCATGGCGTTCACTTCATTCTCCAATTGTTCATTCATTTCATTTTCCAAGTCCCCGCCCAATGAAATGACATCATCATTTTGATCATCATCCGAATGATTAGCAGAATTAGTTTCATCAGTTGATTTTTTAGATAAATCATCAGTTTTCGATTTTTCTTTGTTAGAATTTTTAAATTCCGCACTCTGAATATTACTGTCTTGTGTATCTTGGGTGTCTTCTCTGTCGCTCATTTTAAATTGGGAATCTTGTGTAGTCTCAGTAGAACTTTCAATACTGACTTTGTCCGTAGCGCTTGGTTCCATTGCAGATTTCTGATTTTCTGTATTATCGATTTCTTTTGCTAAAGACTTTTCTTTGTTTTCAACTTCTGTGGTTTCCTTTTCAGTGTTTTTAAGTTCCCTTTGTGTTTGGCTATCAGATTCATTAGATTCCTTGATGGTTGTTTCATTGTTAGCTTTTTTCGCTTCATTTTTATTTGTTTCTTTACTTTCATCATCAGATGAGTCGGTTATTAGCAATGTTTCTGGTTCAGCCACTATAGGTATAACGTCCGGTGAAGGTGATCGACTGCCTCTCTTTTCTTTTTTGATCTCTGTCATTAGGGTTTCATTTGTTTTATTTTTCTCTTGTTCCATGGACTTTTCTTTCGTAGCTGCTCTATCGTTATTTTCTTTATCGTCTTTCCGGTCCTGTTTTTCTTGTGTTTCGTTAACTTTATCGGCCGCATTAGTCGATGTTCTATGCGTTCTCTTTAGTTTGATCTTTTTTGAAGTCTTTTTTTCGGCTTCTTTTTCAGATTGGGGCTTAGAACTTAAGTTTTCCGTTGAGCCATTGATGCGACTAACTTTATTTGAATCTCTCGATTGTCGATCACTTGAAAGACGTTTACGTTCATTTTTATTCGTTTTATCATCTTTTTTAGAGGATTTTGCTTTGTCCTCTTCATTGCGTTTCTCCCCATCTGAATCAACTTCAATTTTGGTAACTGGCTCTAAAGCCAATTGAGAGCGAATTGCTCTAGCTCGAGCTTGCAATTCCAATAGCTCCAAAACACTGATTTGTCCATCTTCTGTAAGTGTTACAAATATTTCATTTCTAGTTCATTTCTAGGTCAGTTCTAGTTCAGTTCTAGTTCAGTTCTAGGTCAGTTCTAGTTCAGTTCTAGTTCAGTTCTAGTTCAGTTCTAGTTCAGTTCAGTCAGTTCTAGTTCAGTTAGTTCTAGTTCAGTTCTAGTTCAGTTCTAGTTCAGTTCTAGTAGTTCAGTTCAGTTCAGTTAGTTCAGTTCTAGTTCAGTTCTAGTTCAGTTCTAGTTCAGTTCTAGTTCAGTTCTAGTTCAGTTCTAGTTCAGTTCTAGTTCAGTTCTAGTTCAGTTCTAGTTCAGTTCTAGTTCAGTTCTAGTTCAGTTCTAGTTCAGTTCTAGTTCAGTTCTAGTTCAGTTCTAGTTCAGTTCTAGTTCAGTTCTAGTTCAGTTCTAGTTCAGTTCTAGTTCAGTTCTAGTTCAGTTCTAGTTCAGTTCTAGTTCAGTTCTAGTTCAGTTCTAGTTCAGTTCTAGTTCAGTTCTAGTTCAGTTCTAGTTCAGTTCTAGTTAGTTCTAGGTTCAGTTCTAGTTCATTCTAGTGGTCAGTTTCTAGTTCAGTTCTAGTTCAGTTTCTAGTTCAGTTCTAGTTCGTTTCGTTAGTTCGAGTAGTTCTAGTTCAGTTCTAGTTCAGTTCTAGTTCAGTTCTAGTTCAGTTCTATTTCAGTTCTAGTTCAGTTCTTAGTTCAGTTCTAGTTCAGTTCTAGTTCAGTTACTAGTTCAGTTCTAGTTCAGTTCTATTCAGTTCTAGTTCAGTTTCTAGTTCAGTTCTAGTTCAGTTCTAGTTCAGTTCTAGTTCAGTTCTTAGTTCAGTTCTAGTTTCAGTTCTAGTTCAGTTCTAGTTCAGTTCTAGTTCAGTTCTAGTTCAGTTCTAGTTCAGTTCTAGTTCAGTTTCTAGTTCAGGTTCCTAGTTCAGTCTAGTTCAGTTCTAGTTCAGTTTCTAGTTCAGTTCTAGTTCAGGTCTAGTTCTAGTTCAGTTCTAGTTCAGTTCTAGTTCAGTTCTAGTTCAGTTCTAGTTCAGTTCTAGTTCAGTTCTAGTTCAGTTCTAGTTCAGTTCTAGTTCAGTTCTAGTTCAGTTCTAGTTCAGTTCTAGTTCAGTTCTAGTTCAGTTCTAGTTCAGTTCTAGTTCAGTTCTAGTTCGTTCTAGTTCAGTTCTAGTTTCAGTTCTAGTTCAGTTCTAGTTCAGTTCTAGTTCAGTTCTAGTTCAGTTCTAGTTCAGTTCTAGTTCAGTTCTAGTTCAGTTCTAGTTCAGTTCTAGTTCAGTTCTAGTTCAGTTCTAGTTCAGTTCTAGTTTCAGTTCTAGTTCAGTTCTAGTTCAGTTCTAGTTCAGTTCTAGTTCGTTCTAGTTCAGTTCTAGTTCAGTTCTAGTTCAGTTCTAGTTCAGTCCTAGTTCAGTTCTAGTTCAGTTCTAGTCAGTTCTAGTTCAGTTCTAGTTCAGTTCTAGTTCAGTTTAGTTCAGTTCTAGTTCAGTTCTAGTTCAGTTCTAGTTCAGTTCTAGTTCAGTTCTAGTTCAGTTCTAGTTCAGTTCTAGTTCAGTTCTAGTTCAGTTCTAGTTCAGTTCTAGTTCAGTTCTAGTTCAGTTCTAGTTCAGTTCTAGTTCAGTTCTAGTTCAGTTCTAGTTCAGTTCTAGTTCAGTTCTAGTTCAGTTCTAGTTCAGTTCTAGTTCAGTTCTAGTTCAGTTCTAGTTCAGTTCTAGTTCAGTTCTAGTTCAGTTCTAGTTCAGTTCTAGTTCAGTTCTATTTCAGTTCTAGTTCAGTTCTAGTTCATTTCTAGTTCAGTTCTAGTTCAGTTCTAGTTCAGTTCTAGTTCAGTTCTAGTTCAGTTCTAGTTCAGTTCTAGTTCAGTTCTAGTTCAGTTCTAGTTCAGTTCTAGTTCAGTTCTAGTTCAGTTCTAGTTCAGTTCTAGTTCAGTTCTAGTTCAGTTCTAGTTCAGTTCTAGTTCAGTTCTAGTTCAGTTCTAGTCAGTTCTAGTTCAGTTCTAGTTCAGTTCTTATTATTTCTTACTAAATGCATATATATCGTTGTCGTCGTTAATGTGTTTTTAAACTTTAAGTAACGAAAAGTTTTGAATTCCAAAAAAATTTTTGATATTTATGATTTTGTGTAGTCCATCGGTAAATAATTTAAATTTATTTAAATTTGTTCATACCTGCATTTTCTGGATTTGTTGTATCCTTTTTGGCAGTCTCGGTCTCTTTCGAAGCTTTAGTTACTTTTTTCTTTTTAACTGCAAATAAAATAAATAAATTATAAATTAAATATGCAAACACAAGATATTGAATTTATTGAAAATAGCAAGAAAACACGAAAGGACAATCAATTTGAAGAATTTACGGTGTTACTAAACGGGGAAAAAGATTTGGAAAAACAATTAGAGGAATTTAAAAAAGTATGTGAGTCACACGAAAAACATCAACGCAAACGTGCTAAAAGGCGTTATTATAATTTAGCCTTAATGGCTAAAGTTGATATTAGTACAACACCTGAAGAAATAAAACGTTTATTGAAGCACAACACCAGGACGTTTTTAGTAGATGTGGTTACCAATAAACCATTTGAAGTAGAATCTTTAATAAGATTAATTAGAGAAATAACAGAAGAGCAACAAGTGGAGGATGCCTGTAACAAAATGACCATCGGTTTAGCATTACAAATTACCGGTGATGCTTGTCGTCTAGGAAGGAGTCGTAACAATTGCTCTTTGTTTTTAGCTCGTAGTAATACCATGACTTTGACCACAAACTTGGCCTATAGATATTCCTGCTTTAAAGAAATTGCTTATGTTCTGAACTTGAATTATTATTTGCCTTACATTAACATAAATGATGAAATTTCTATAGGCCCGGAAGTAAAAGGTATAGTCGTGAAGAAATTAAAGACTTCTATCGCCCTTATAATAACAGAGGCTGGCATAGTAAATTCCTATGATTATCTGGATCTACCAAATCAATGTTATAGTTTGTCGTTAACAAATTTACCAGACATCTTTAGCACAGATTTAGAAACAGCCTTAAAATTGCAAGTGGACTTTATTGTCACGCCCCACGTACGCTGCTTGCATTTTGTGAAATTATTACAGCATAAAATCAAAAGCTTTGAGCATATAAAACTTATAGGCAGTCTCGATTTGGAATATATCAGTCGTAAAATGTTGGATATAATGCAAATTATAAAATATTTGGACTATTTATGGTTGACAAATCTCTTTGGAAACACTGAAACCATAAATACGTTTTTAAAACAAGATGTTATTCCAGTTGCCAAGTGTTTAATGAAACCCCTTATAGGATCTGTGCCTTTAGAACGTTGCAGCGACTTTAAACTGTTTGAAAATCATGAATTCCTTAGTACGCTGGATTGTATGTTTATAGAGAAGAGCGCCTGGTGTAACAAGTACCCTTTAATAGTCAAAAAACTTTTACCTATTAAAAATTATCGTTTGGCGTTGGTGGAGAATGCTGCCGTAGTACATGATATTTTAAGCAATTGTCAATCTGTTGTCAATTTTATTATACGCACCATTAGCTCCATAGAATGTCAAGCCATTTTTCTCTATACTAAATGTGCTACAGCTGCTAAAGCTTTAAGCCGTGTAGAAATATACTGTCCGGTATTTGTGGTTCTTTCCCTAGAACAAGCAGTTCTGCAGCAAAATGAAGAGGAAATAAATTGCCTTACGGATTTAACAAAAAATCTTAATCTACGCAGAAATTTAAGACCAGTTCTGTACAATAATGAAATGAATGAATGTGATTTAAAACCAATTGATTATGGCATTGAGTATGCTCGTCATTGTGGATGTCTAGAAACGGGAGATTTCATAATCACTTTAGAAGTTGGTAAAGAAAATGGTGATGAACATATACAACTGGGTGTGGGAGAGGATGTGGTTATAATGCGAGCATTTTATGCACCACCTTTGAAAGTGGGTGAGAAATTTAAGTGTACTTGATGGTAAAAATTTGTTATAAAAATAAATCAAAATTAAAAATTTATTCTATTTCATTCTTTATTCTACAGTTCTAGTTCAGTTCTGGCTCAGTCATTGTTCAGTTCTAGTTCATTTGTATTTCTAGTTCAGTTCAATTTCCCAAAATCCTAATGACCCAAAAACAATAACAGTATTAAATTGAATAACTTACTCTTCTTGGAACCAGATCCTTCAATTTCGCTATCAGATGATATTTCTTCCAAGGAAATATGTTCTGAAAATTTAAAGAAATATATTTAAAGTCATTCAAAACATAATGAAAAAATATACCTTCATGTCTCTCCACATCAGAATCATTATCTGACGATTCAGTATCCGTGGGACACTTGGTGTCCGTAATAATAGACTTTAAACGTTTTGTTGATATGCAAAGCAGTTCATTCAAACAGGCCTCTTCGATTTCTTCCAAAGCCTGGGTCTGCAATAATTTTTAAATCATTTCATTAACACATTCATTTAAATAAGAGTTTCTTACCTTTAAAAAGTCTGGAGCTAAATTAATTATGGTCTTCGGTTTAAGTGTATTAAAGATTTGCTTCACCATTTCTAGCCTATCATCTATATAATGGGTCATGGGCTGTGGCAAACGATCTTCATCGGATTTTTCCTTTTTCACTTTTATTGGTTTTGGCAATTTGGCCGTTTTTGATTTCTTTTTAGTTTTATGCATTTTTATTTAAAATATAATACAAAAATTTTTGTTAGAAATTAAACAATTTATTAAGAAAAGAGAGAATTTGTTGTGAAAAGAAATGCAGCAAAAACAATTGTACAGCTGTTTTCTTTTCTCTGTTTTATTTACAACTTCGTACAGAGTTGTATTTATAGGATTGTCATGCTCCGCATAAATACAATAAGGCGTTAAGCGAAAAGCGAGTAAGTACAATTTTTAAGTAAAATGTTACAAAATTTATTATATTAACTGAGTGCCGTAACTAAAGACTGTATTTTAATACTTCATTCTTTTGAACGTATAAGCACGAAATTAAACATTAAGAGTTCTGAAAATGGAATTATTTAACAATGAATTTTTGTATTTTTTTCATATTTTTTGTGTTTTATTTAATATTGAACAAAAAAACATAAAATTAATAATCCGGGTCGTGAATAAATGTAAATCTGCTGGATACGATTTTTCGGTTTTTAATTGGAAAGTTTTGAGTAATATTTATAGGACCTTAAATAAAATAAATACAATACAATTAACTTAAATTTTATATTAGAAGTTAAAATAATCATTTCCATATACAAATTTTATATCAGTTTAAATATTATAGATTTGTTTCCATTACTTATTTTAATGTTATATTTTTTAATATTAATAACAATATTAATAATTTTATTAACAAAACTTTATTAAAGATAAAACTTAAACCTTTCAAACTGTTCGTCGTTAAATTAATATAAATAATTATTTTTTAAAACATATGAAAATTATACTTCAAAATTGAAAAATTTTATCAGATCAATAATACTTCAATTAAAAATTTAATGATGCCTAAAAAAAATATAATTGTTTTTGTTATTTTATTTTCGTTAAAAAGTTTTATTATTATTTTAAACATGTATCAACTTAGATGTTTCATTTTGTTACTACTAACATTAATACTAAAACTAAATCAAATTAATTCACAAAAAATTTCAATTAAAATAACTAATTTAACTTGTGCCTCGTTAAACCTCAACTATATAAATTACACAAAATGTCAACTTAATAAAGTAAATAAAAATAATGAACAATCTATTTATATTTATGGGAAATTAATGGTTAGAAGTATCAATGATATGACGGTAATTTGTGTATTACATTAAAAATAATAACACCAGTAATAATACATTTATATGTATATTTCACAGGTAAATGCCAAATTGTTTCGAAAAATTAATAGAAATTATCGCCCATTTCTATACGATGATGTTATAGATTTTTGTGATTTTCAAAAAAATTCAAAACAAAATATTTTTTGGAATATAGTTTTTAATACTATGTCTAAATATTCCAATCTTAATCATACTTGTCCCTATGAGGTGTAGTAATTTTTATAAAAATTTATAGTTTTAATTCCAATTAAATAATATTTCTGTTTTTCAGCATGATTTTATCATCGATAATTTGGTATTTTCGGGTAAACACTTTAAAATGCTACCATTTCCAAAGGGTAATTATCTGGTACAAATGATAATTATAACTCGGAATATAAAAATTGGTCAAGTTGATGGATATTTCTCCATGTAAAATGTAGGTGTGTGATTTAGGATCACATATTTTGCAGCTTCGGTGCAATTGTCTCCATGTGAAATAACTATGTTTGATTTCAATTTATTAAAAACTTTTTAGCTCAAAATTATTGTATTTTAGAGAATATTTAAATTTTGTTTTGTTTGTTTTTTATATACATTTTTTTATATAAAATGCTCCTTTTAAATAAAAAATTTTCGATATATGTATGTACGTTGTTTTTATAGACATTTTTATACCCTACACCACTTTAGTGGGGTTAAAATCGGTCCATTATTTTACCTAGCCCCCATAGAACAAATCCCCCCGAAAAAGGGATTCTGAGCTCATAATTATGTTAAATATACAGATATATCATTAAAATACGGCACAACTAAGTTTTATAGAAGTCTTGATGACCCTGCCAAATTTCATAAAGATCGGGCCCCATTTGACCCTAGCTCCCATACAAAGTCCCCTTCAGAAAATTTCTTGAATGTCCCAAATTAACTTATAAACACAAATATCGCGATGAAATTCAGCACAATAAAATATTATGTAAATATAAATATATTCACAAAATTTTATCGGGCTTGGTCCATATTTGCCCCTAGCCCCCATATAAAGCCTCTTTCAGAAAATTAGTTTTTCATCCATAAATTGCTTAAATGTATCGGAACAAGGGAATATTGAAGGTAAATGCTTTATTATTATTATTTACTCATCTATCTATCTATCTATCTATCTATCTATCTATCTATCTATCTATCTATCTATCTATCTATATATCTATATATCTATATATCTATCTATCTATCTATCTATCTATCCATCTATCTTGACTTGGATACTTATAAAGAAAGTTTGAGAAATCATGCATTAGTTTGTGTTTACTCCATTCACGAACAACTCTGTTTTAACTACACAGCTGACATTGACAACTTAAAGTGGATAAAGAAATAAAAACGATAACATTTCATTTTAATAAAATATAAATAATAATTAAATAATATTAAATAACTAGTAAATTCTTGGTAAGTCGATACAATTATTTATAACAATTACATTAATTAATTAAGATATAAAATGGCAAAAATCATTAGCTATTAAGTAATTTTATCAAACAACGCGCTAATGTAATATCAGAATATCGTAACAAAGAGAACAAAACAAAAACAGAAAACATACTAAAGAAACTTCGCTGACGGTTGGGTCAGTCTTCAGAAGAACCTCTGTCAAAATGCCCATAATAAAGTAAAAGAAAAAAGGGCAAAAAATATATATTTGCTTTATTGAAACTTTGCGGTAGTGTTAAATTAAATGAGTGCAAAAATTAATTAAAACAAATAAAAGAGAAACAAAAACGTGCAATGTCAACGACGACGACTACAACGCCAAAACGAAATAAAATAATTATGAATAAATAAAATAGTGTTAAATAAAACAATTTTAGGAAAACTATTAAAAACTAACAACGAAGACGACGACTAATTACGTAGTCAATATCTACGAAAATTAAGTAAATAGAACAAAGAAATAAAAAGAAGTGTAATAGAATTTTTCATTTACTAAATTGCCTGTTGTGGTGGCAGCAGAAGCAGAAGCAGCAGCAAAAGTAATTGTTTTTTGAGGGTGTTTGGCTGTGTAAGCTGTAAATACTACTGCCTGCGTGTCTGCTTTTGCAAGTTTTAAATACAATGGAAACACGAGCCAATAGCGGAGGCAATGGCTCGCTAGCCCTAGAAATGAGCAATAGCAGTAATATGGGTGGCAGCACCTCTAGCTTGAATTCCAAAGAGTTACGTCAACAGAAGGAAGATGTAACCCTGTACTTTAAGAAAATATCCAGTGCCCTATTCTATGGCCTGTCTTCTTTCATGATAACCGTAGTTAATAAGACAGTACTAACATCGTACAAATTTCCGTCGTTTCTTTTCCTCAGTCTGGGACAACTAACGGCCAGCATAGTAGTATTAAGCATGGGCAAACGCCTAAGACTAGTCAGCTATCCCTCACTGCAGCGCAATACATTCAAGAAAATATTTCCTCTGCCGCTTATATTCCTGGGCAATATGATGTTTGGTCTGGGCGGTACACAAGCCTTGAGTTTACCCATGTTTGCTGCTTTACGGCGTTTTTCCATATTAATGACTATGTTGCTGGAATTGAAAATATTGGGTGTCCGCCCCTCTGTGGCGGTACAGGTCAGTGTGTATGGCATGATAAGTGGTGCCCTGTTGGCGGCCTCCGATGATTTGTCTTTCAACATGCAGGGTTATACGTTTGTCATGATCACAAATGCTCTAACCGCTGCCAATGGTGTATTTGTCAAAAAGAAACTGGATACTTCAGAAATTGGCAAATACGGCCTAATGTTCTACAATTCTCTATTTATGTTTACACCCGCCCTGCTGATCACTTATATAACAGGCGATCTTCATGAAACGTTGGCTTTTAAACATTGGCATGATCCTTATTTTGTGGTTCAGTTCCTACTCAGCTGTTTTATGGGATTCATCTTATCCTACAGCACTATTCTTTGTACACAATACAATTCAGCCTTGACTACCACCATAGTAGGCTGTTTAAAGAATATATGTGTCACATATTTAGGCATGTTTATAGGTGGCGACTACATATTCTCGTGGTTAAATTGCATTGGCATTAATATCAGCGTATTCGCGAGTCTGCTATATACATACGTAACTTTTAGACGGAAGCAAGCACCCGATAAGGAACTACTGATACCAACAACAAATAAAAGTGAAGCTGTTTAGTTTAAAATTTTCATATTCGTCGCCAAAACCGCCACACCACCACATCCAGCACCAGCATTATCTTGAAACCGTAAGAAAGTGTTAAATAAAATGTATGTGTGTTATATTTTAATATAATAAATATAATAATTATTTATAGTATATGTATGTATTTTATAAATTTAATCTATGAATTTCTATTTTTGCTCTAATGCGTTATTTTGTAGTTATAAATTAAGTTTTATAAATGATGTTTTTTTTTTAATTGTTTATTCTGTACAGAAAATAATTGTATGTAAATCTAAAAAAATGCCATAGTAATGAAAAAATAAAAAAGAAATGATAAATAAACATGTAACAAACGTAATTTAATATAAAACATTTATATAAATAGTGTTTTAATTTGTTCAACAGCATATTTAGTATAACATGCATAAAAAATTATTAGTTTTTTTTTTTAATTTTATGAATGATTTCAATAGAATTTGTATTTATAGTTAATTTTGTTATTTAGGTAATAAATTATAAAAAACCCGACATACAGTGTCTCACATAAGTATTCGAATTTGGTTGTACTTTGAAAGGAAACATAATTTAATAATATTTTTGCGTGTGAAATGAATAATTAAATTTGTTATATTGTCTAGAAAGTCCTAAGGTTTAATATCGCACTCTGTTAAATTTGCAAAAATTACATTTACTTAAATTAATTTAACTTTTTTTTAAAAAAGTCCGTAAAATTGATTCACAAAAGTATTCGAATTTTTCTTGTATTTCATATTTGACCT